GCTTGATGGGATGGTTTCTGTTTCTGTTTTGTTTTGTTGTCTGAGTCAGGCTTTCTCTGTGTAACAGCTCTGGCTGTCCTGGAACTCACGTTGTAGCTAGGGCTGGCCTTGAACCCAGAGATCTGCCTACCTCTGCCTCCCGAGTGCTGGGATTAAAGACACAGTGCTCAGCACTCCACTAGCTATGAGCTGTGTCAGTATTTTCTATCAAGGCTTTGCTGTGCAGTAAGTAACTGGGGCCACAAAGGTCAGATGTCTCAAGGACTTTCCCCGAGGTGACTGCCTGGAGTCTGCACTGAACGGAAGGGCTCAGATAGCCGGTTCCAAGCTGAGCCCTGGCCAATGGCATTTTGTTTTAAACAATGGACATTTCCAACCCATTTAGAAACTGTAAATTTAGTATAAAGCTTTGGATTGTTTGGTAGAGGGAAAATCTTGAGCTGAGTCAAAGGACATAAGGATAGACCCCCTAATTAAAACCGGATGTTGTTATTGTGGTTGGTTATCTTGCGATGACTATCAGCGGCGAAACCCTAACGCTCACATCTTCAGGCCCTTGAGTTGTGCCCTGATGGCTGCACAGGCTACCTGGCTGTCTCCTTCATGAGAGGCAGACGGTTCCCTGGGTACATGATAGTTCCCTAAGATCATGTGCCGGCCCCATAAGTAAGTACGAGCCCTCCGTATCTCTCGTAACTTGAAGAAACTTACAGAGTGAGTTTGCCCTCATTGTTTAAATGGAAACATTAAGGATCTGAGAACTTAAATGACTCACGGAAGGGCATTGTGGAGAGAGAGATGCCCACTCACGCCGGACTGTGCTGTAGGAAGTCTTACAGCCAGTGGTTACCCGCCCACTGGGGCGTGGCTCCTTATACTATCTATGCTGATGTAGCGCATGCGTCCTGCCTCTCTTATCCCGCTGCAGAATTCGGTTTCTAATCTCCGGTCCAGCAGAGGATTCTGATTTGTGAGTCTACCCCTAAATAAATAACTGTCTATTTCTAGATTCTGAGCTAGTGTGGGATTTCTTTTAAGCATCCTTCAAGACTGCGTAGTTGTCCCCACACCGTCACCTTTTCCTTGTTATCTGGAGCACAGAGCTGATAGTTGCTTGACTAATCCCAGGGGGACCATGATGACTTTCTAAAAATGAGGGTGTTTCCTCACTAACTGGGACCTCACTGCCGCCCTGGGCCTCTCCCCACCCAGTGCTCTTCTGTAAGTTTCTTCTGAGTGCCAGGAATGCCCCTGCATCAGCTAGAAGCTCCGCCTGGCCCACAGGGGCCTCAAGAGTCCGACTATGAGGCCTTGTGATTGGGCAGTGCATGGTTTTGGAAGCCTTGGCACGCCATCTCGGATTATCCCAGCACAGAGGCGGCTCAACAGGTTCCATCTCTCGGTTAAAGATCTCCTCAAACCGGCCAGTTCTAAGATGGTCCCATTTCTACCAGGGCTGCAGGCCTCAGGTCTGGCTCCTGCCAGTTCATCCCGGGAGACTCACTTCCTTCCCTGTGGCTTCAGGACAGACAGACCTGGCCGTGCCACTTGGAATCCAGGCTAAGACATTATTAACTGTCATTTGTATTATGACAAAGATGTTCCCTTTACTTTAAGTTTTCCACAGGAAAGATCGCCTGAGGTTAGTTAACTCCACATTGTCCTGTGCTTCTGTCCCCGAACGCTATTGGGCAGCGAGAGCGCTCTTGAAGGTGCAAGACAGCGTCAAGCCTGCATGAAGCCTGCATGGTACTTCAGCTCTCTTTAGCTTTTACTGTGTAAGCAGCATCCACCCCCACGCAGCACAGAGGACCCCCTATCCTAGCTCATGCAATGCCATCTTGCCCGATTCTAGAATTGAATGCAAATGAAGTTCTAATTGTTGCAGTTTTGTCTTTTGGCGGCCTAATTCCAGTTATAGATCATCTAGCTTACCTTTTCATTGAGTTGGTTTTGCTGATGTACTTTTTTTCCTAATCATTTATGCTTTTAATTTCCATCTTAGTCATTTTGGGTGCTATCAGAGGGTGCCATGGACCTTCTAAGGGCCGGGATATTTTTTTTTTTTTCTGTTCTGGTGGCCATGGGGTCTAAGATGACAGTGTTAGTGGGCTCACTGTGTAGCGAGGGTTGTCATCTTCCTTCATCGTGTGCTCCTATGAGGGAAAATGTGAGCGGACACCACTCTTATTTGTGAAGTCTTCATCCTCATGACCTAATGACCTCCCCGACCCCCCATGCTGCTGAAATTCCTTCCCACAAGGAGACGGAGCAACATCTACCCTTCCTCCCTAGGTCGCACCAACACACTGAGCGTTGTTTCCAAAGTTAACTGTGGAAAGCCAGTGGTGAATTGGGTTTTCTACAGAGCCCAGGTGAGGGATTACTTACAGGGCTTGGACACTCCTGCCCTGGCTGACCACACTCAAAGAGCCTCCACGCCTTCTCCCTGGGTTATAGAATCTACTCCTCCCAGAGGCTGCAGGAATTAAGGTAAAGTTGTGGCAGGGAGAGACTGGATGTTTAGGTGAGCTTAGGTGAGGGTCTTGTGACCTTCTGCACCCCACAAATCCAGCTGGGATAATTCTTTTGCAAAGGGGCACCGTTGAACTCCCCAAGATGGTGGGTGGTTGCTTGGCTTGGAGACAGTCACTCAACAGACCCATAATCCTAAAGTACTGGTGGGTCCCATGGATTGTGGAAACTCCAGGGTTAATGCCAGTCTTTTTTTAAAAATATTTATTCATTTATTATGCATACAATATCTGCCTACATGTGTGCCTGAAGGCCAGAGAGGGCACCAGATCTCATTACAGATGGTTGTGAGCCACCATATGGTTGCTGGGAATTGAACTCAGGACCTTTGGAAGAGCAGGCAGTGCTCTTAACCACTGAGCCATCTCTCCAGCCCAATGCCAGTCTTAAAAGGTTCCTTACGTCCCTCATTTTTTACTCTGTTCCGCAGTTAGTACCTATTCATTCGTTTGCACCCTTTTGGTTTTTCCTGAAGCTCAGAGACAGAAGCCGACACACTTGAAAGAATGAGGATGGTGTGCACGGGTCTTTGCACAAGTGTGCAGATCCGTGAACAAGTGTGCAGATCTGTGAACAAGTGTGCAGATCCGTGAACAAGTGGGAGAGGGCGGCAGCCTGAGCGAGAGGCTGGGAGGGAGGGAGGGAAGCGAGGAGAGAGCTGCTGCCCTGGTGCTGTGGGTTTCTACAGCCCCCACCCGAGGCCCGCACTCAGCGACTTTCCATTCTGTGTGAACACGTCATTTCTCTTTTTGTGCGCGAACCACTCAAATGTTTCTCAGAATGAAGAGTCCGGCAATAAAGTAACATCCTGGTTCCTCCGGCTTTTTCTAAAATGAAAGGATCTCAGGATATAGTCTTTCAAGAGAAAATGACAGGTCTGAGATTATCACCGACTTTCACCGTCTCCAGAAATGTGTAGGGCTGCTTGCTGCATTGACTCTTACAAGTATTAAGTGTTACAATTTATTTATGCCATTGTTTATGTCTTAAGCCAAAAAGAGATGCTTGAAACTATTTTTTTAACGGTCTCTGCAAACACATGTTCCTATCCAACTTTAGGACTTACAGTAAAATGTACTAGTCTTTAAAAAGGGGCATTATTCAACTATCCTTCATACTCTCTTCCAATCTCCAAAATTCATCACCAGGCGTTTTTTTTCTCAGTAATACTCTCCTTACTGTATTTACATTTGAATTCCATGTCATAAGAATAAACGAAATCCATTTTGGTTAACTCAGTGTATTTATAAAATGAAAAGTCTTACCAAAATACTTTTCACTGGAAAAAATAAATAGAACAGACAATGGATCTACTTGAAGCACACATTCGCTTTGGTCGACGTCAGTGTGGGACAGTTCATGACAGGCACATTCGCCCTTATTCCCCCAGGGCCGAGCAGCTTCCAAGCTAATGATTAAATCATTTTTTTAACAGAATTTATAGTGTTGCTATCTGGCTCATTCCACATCATCTTCAGCCAAGCTCTGAGCACTTACACTTCTTGACTAATGGCTGGAAGCTTGGTCAGAAGCTTCTGGAACCCTGGTGGTGGAAGAGTCTGCTGTAACGCTCGCAGCAGCTGCTGAGGCTGTCCACACACAGCGATTGCATTTGTCAGGTGGTCTACACCGTTCTCGTAACGGCCTTGTGCTAATAACTCTTCACCAAGCTGAATCTCTTCAGGGAACAATCTCTGAACAGCTTCAGCGTCTTCTAAGGCGGGTAACTTTGAAAGCCCAGCTCTCTCCTTAGCAAGCTTCTGTTTCTTTCTTCGTTCTCGCAGCCTGTTCTTGAAGTTGGGGTCGCTTCGCCTTTTGCCGATTGAAGTAGATGCAGTAGCCGATGAAGAGGGCACCGCACACGCCCGCGGCAATGGTACTGTTGCGGCCCACCATTTTTGCTTTCACTGTCATTGTGTGTGTGTAGCAATTTTTTTAAAATGCAAATCCAAATTTGAGAGTTAGAGTGACCTGCGTAAGTACAGAAACATGTTTTTGATTAAAAATGGGTCTGATAAGACTGTCAATTTGTCACAGGCGCAGTTTAAATATCTGTGCCCTCTTCAAAAGTCAGGTTCAGTATAATCCCAGTGTTAAGAGTGTTACAGTCAAGGCCTTTGGGTAGTTATGCGATGTGTGCCAGCCAGCACTCCAGGAGATCAAAGGCCTTGGGCCTCTGCCCTCTGCTGTTTCTGCTGGGGGTGCAGGGTGCAGCTACCAGCTACCATGTTGGAATCTACGGACAGCCGTCACCAGACCCAGGACCATGATCACCTTGCTGTTGGACTGACTGCCCAACCTCCAAAACAAAGAAAAAGAATCAAGCTCTATAGTTTATTAAATAAAACCCAGTCAGTGGTACTTGTGTATAGCAGCATGAATGGGCCAGACAGCCACAAATACATTTACATGTCAAACACCCAGCCACTTAATGTTTATTTTATTATATATATATATTTTTGAGCCATTTGTATTATTTATTTTATTATTATTTTTTTAACAAAAGTTTATTACAATGTACAACAGGCTCCAGGATAACACTTCATTCTAACTATAGGTGGCAATGATGTTGTAGTAGGGAATCCAGATGTTTAACAGGCTCCAGGATAACACTTTGTTCTAGCTGTAGATGGCAAAGATGTTATGGCAGGGAATCCAGATGTTTAAATGGGAATGGAAGAGGGTCACCATCATCTCAGATATGAGGAACAACTTACTTTTTGCCAGATTTCTTAATTCCACCTGTGGCCAGGTGTCCCTTCCCCGCGGCCTTGGCTTTTAGCTCCTCGAGTTTCTTCTGTTCCTCTTTTTGTTTCTGCTGGAAAGCCGTACCTTCCTCGTCCATTTCCTTGGCCTGCTTCTTGGGCTGTTTCAGGGGCTTCTTTTTGCCACCTTCCCGGCCCGACATGGCACTTCCAAACACCCCCCTCTCCAGACCCTCTTTATTTTATATTTTTAAGGGACAGTGACAGAATCCAAAACTTGAGGAAAATTGATTTAAAGTGTCTAAAATAATCATTGGGCCATTTATTTCACTTTGTTGTTTATGGTACTAGGGGGCAGAACCCAGGGTCTCTGACCCTAACTGCGCGCTCCACCACCGAGCTACACCCAGAGTCCCAGAGCGACTGACCTCTTCCTGGAAAGCGCTGCCTTGGGACATCTTTTCAGGAATTCTGCCTACTGTGTAAACCTTGGGTTTCTGATGCTCATTAGCCAATAGGCTAAGAAGGGAGGAATAACAGTGTTAAGAGGGGTGGTTGATCTAGACGACCGAGGGGAAATGGATGGCACGTGACACAATCTGTTTCCATTGCATTAAAAAATCATTTATTCAAACTAAAACCATTGGATCGTACAGACACACACGTGCCACAGCGCATGTGTGGAGGTCAGAGGACAACTTGTGGGGGATTGGTTATGTCCATTGTGTGGATTCTGGAGATCAAACCTGAGTTGGTAGGTTTGGCAGGGAGCACCCTTCACCACGGGGCCAGGGCTCTATCCCTGGTTGTGCTAATTGGATGTGTTTGTGGGACAGAATGCGACAGCTCCACTCACGAGCGTAGTGCCTGACGGTCACATGAGGATACCTGGGTATCGGCCACTTTGGCTGCTTACCATCTTTTTGTGCAGGGACGTTTGATAGCCTGTCTTCTAGCTATTTGTGAAACATTTAATTGGCTGTTGTCTGCCATCCTTCTCCTGTTCTGTAGAGAACGTTAGACGTTATTCCTCATATTCAATGGCATCCTAGTCAATCAGAAACCTTCTCCCATCCCATCTTCAGCCTTCCCAGAATCTAGTACGTTTTCGTTTTCTTTTTTTAAAAAAAAAAAAAAAAAAAAAAAAATTTTTTTTTTTTTTAATTTAAGCTTGGCCATTTTGAGGGTAATGCTTGTCACCTGGACTCACAGACAGAAGTCCTGAGCCATGAAACACTCTGGCCTCAACCACCTTTGGATTTCTGGTATCGCATAAATGCAGGACCCTGGCCCCATTGCTACCTCAAGTCCCCTCAGCTCTTTCTTCAGACACCCTTCCACATATATAGATGTCCTGATAGACATCTTATATTCTTCAGGTCATCCTTAGTTGTATCCTACCCATGAGTCCCTGAGGCTGCCCGGGCTCCACATGAGGTCTTAAAGTGTTACTTAACCTCTGTGGATGGTCACACAGAATGAATTTAGTGGTCGTGATGTTGAATCTCCTTATAGTTGCAAGAACAAAAAGCTCATACCCTTTTCAGAACGAATTTTAAAATAGTAGTGTTGTTTTACATTAAATACAGCGGCTGCCCCTGAAGCAATTGCCGACCTAACCAGCGGTTGCAATTCTTGCAGCTACCAGCCGCAGTTGGGTTGCAGGGACCACAGAAAGGTGGGAATTCTGTTCCCTCAGGCACTGGCTCTATCAAGCGTTACACAGTTAAAATAATATTCCGCAACATAATAGTTTATATATACAGACTTTGTGAAAGACTACCCAGCATTCCGAGCCAGTGAGGAACCATGATAGCTGTGTGGCAAACATTCACAAAGATTCATGGAAGCTTGCTAAAATGAACATATGTTTAAACATCGTTTAAAAAAACCGCAATGTAACACACGGCTAAAAAGCAAAGTTTATTGCCTTACATGCCAAGAATATCAAGTATTACCACATTTGGTAAGTAGTTTAAAATTTCTCTGGTTTTTTTTGTTGTTGTTTCTTTTCTCCTGGCTGTCCTACAACTTGCTCTGTAGACCAGGCTGGTCACAAACTCAGAGATCCGCCTGCCTCTGCCTTCTAAGTGCTGGAACAAGGGTGTGTATCACCACCACTCGGTCTCTCTGAGTCTATTGTTATGCTAAGGATTTTTAAAAAATTTATTTAAATCTTTTTTTTTTCATTTTACATACCAACTACAGTTACCCCTCCCATTTTTTTGATTTGCATTTCCCTCAGAGGTAAGGATGTTGAGCATTTTCTTTTAATTAATTAATTAATTAATTAATTAAAAATGTCCACCTCCTCCCCGCCTCCCTTCTCCCTCCCCCTCCCCAACTTCCCCTCCCTTTCTAGTCCTAAGAGCAGTCAGGGTTCCCTGCCCCGTGGGAAGTCCAAGGTCCTCCCCCCTCCATACAGGTCTATAAAGGTGAGCATCCAAACAAACCAGGCTCCCACAAAGTCAGTCCATGCAGTAGAATAAAAACCCAGTGCCATTGTCCTTGGCTTCTCAGTCAGCCTTCATTGCCAGCCACGTTCAGAGTGTCCGGTTTGATCACATGCTCCATCACTCCCAGTCCAGCTGGCCTTGGTGAGCTCCCATTAGATCAGTACCACCGTCTCAGTGGGTGGACACAACCCTTGTGATCCTGACTTCCTTGCTCACGTTCTCCCTCTTTCTGCTCCTCATTTGGACCTTGGGAGCTAAGTCCAGTGCTCCAGTGTGGGTCTCTGTCTCTATCTCCATCCATCGCCAGATGAAGGTTCTATGGTGATATGCAAGATATTCATCAGTGTGGCTATGGGACAAGGCCAGTTCAGGCACCCTCTCCTCTGCTGCCCAAGGAACAATCTGGGGACCTCTCCTTGGACCTGGGAACCCCTCTAGAGACAAGTCTCTTGCAAATCCTAAAATGGCTCCCTTAATTAAGGTATTTACTTCCCTGCTCTCATATCCACCCTTCCTCCATCCCACACATCCCATTCCCCCAAGCTCTCCTGAATCCTCCCCTTCTCCCTTCTCTCTACCTATCTCCGCTTACATCCCCTTCCCCTCACCCCCGTGCAACCAAGTTTTGCCTGGCAATCTTGTCTACTTCCAATATCCAGGAGGATAACTATATGATTTTCTTTGGGTTCACCTTATTTAGCTTCTCTAGGATCACTATTTATAGGTTCAATGTCCTTTAATTATGGCTAGAATCCAGTTATCAGGAGCATTTTCTTAAGTGTCTTTTGATCATTTGAGATTCTTCTGTTGAGAATTCCCTGTTTAGATCTGTACCCCATTTTTAAATTGGATTATTTGGTATTTTGATGCCTAATTTGTTGAGTGAGTTTATATATATTGGAGATCAGCCCTCTGTCAGATGTGGGGTTGGTGAAGATCTTTTCCCATTCTGTAGGCTGCCATTTTGTCTTATTTGCCATGTCCTTTGCCTTACAGAAGCTTCTCAGTTTCAAGAGGTCTCATTTATTCATTGTTGCTCTCAGGGTCTGTGATACTGGGGTTATGGTTGGGAAGTGGTCTCCTGTGTCCATGTGTTCAAGGCTGCTTCCCACTTTGAAGTTCAGTGTGGCTGGATTTATGTGAGGTCTTTGATCCTCTTGGACTTGAGTTTTGTGCATGGCGATAGATATGGATCTCATGTGCATCCTTCTCCATATTGACTTCCAGTATGCCAGCACCATCTGCTGAAGATGCTTTCTTTTTCCCATTGTATGGTTTTGACTTCTTTGTCAAAAATCAGGTGTTCATAGGTGTGTAGATTAATGCCTCTGAGTCAATTCCATTGATCCATGTGTCTGTTTGTATGCCAATTAGGTTAAGGATTTTTGCTATGAGAAATTATTTTACATCAGAGTCAACTGTCAGTATAGATCTGAAGCTATTCTGTCTTTAAAGACATTCTTTTTTTAAAATTATTTATGTTACTGTATGTGTGTGGATGTTTTCCCTGCAGGTATGTATGTGTATGTTCACCATGTATGTGCACTATGTTAGTGCCTGATGCCCACAGAGGCATTGACTTTCCTTGGAACTGGAATTATAGATGGTTGTTAGCTGCAATGTGGGTGCTGAGAATCAAACCTGGTTCTTCTGAAGAGCAGGCAGTTCTCAAAACCACTGAGACATCTCTGTGGCTCCCTAAAGACATTCTCGATGATTAAATCTTCCTTTTGAGGGGAAGGATACTGTAGTTGTGGAAATGATCTCAAGACATTTTCATGATAGTTTAATAAGGTGAAAGTTTTGATTAAACGCTAGATAGTGCTTTGAGAAACCGCAGTTTGAACAAAGCCCTCTCAAACTTCAGTTGAAAAATGAGCTTGGCTTACCATCCCTCCATCTTGTACTGAAATGACTCTCCAGGGGATCCTTCAGTGACCTGACCTATTGTCGTGATCATTTCCATGAGACATTACAATTGTCGTTCAGCCTGCAAACAAAGAAAGGGGAGAGGAAGAGAGGGAGGGAGAGGGAGGAAGAGATTGAGCGAGCGAGAGATTTGAAAGACATATCACAGCTGAGTAAACCCATTGAAAAATAAATTAACAAATGATTGGAAGATTTAGCAATGCCTGTTTGATGGTGTTAAGAAGCCAATTGGGGTTTTGGTTGCTGTTTCGAAGGTCTGATGACGACCATGCGTTTTGTGTTAGAAAAGTGTCGTTTTCTTTCCTAGATCCACACTGAGTGTTTGCTGATGGAATGATGTACCCCATTGCTTCAGGAAAGGGGTGCTAGAATGGTTAGGTCAGTGTAACCTTGCTTAGCAGGGTTTGAGGGGTTAGAACTCCATGGTCTACCGGGGCGCTCTAAGGGCCTACTTCAGCAGTGATTCTGTGCATCCTTGAGAGCTGTAAGGGTACTGATCCTACAAACTTGTCAATGAGCTTGTGGGATTTCATGCTTCCCAGGAGCCTATTGCCCTCCGAGCTGTGCACTGGCAATTCCGTGGCAGAGAAATAGGAGATTCTAGACATGAAGTCACATTTTGGATTTCATTGCTTTGTTTTTGCTTTCCTTTTTAAATGTTGCATGCGGCCCTTCCAACGCTAGTCAGTCAATCTTATTTCTTTCTCGTTTCTGTAAAAAGGGAAGGACTTTCCGACGGGGTGGATCATCATGGTTGATATCTGCCGGATGGAAAATCCCGACCGTATCTCTTTGTCTCTGGATGTCATCAACTTCTTTTCAAGTTCTCACTGA